TCTTATTGTATCTTTTGTATCTCATCTTTAAAATCAATTGTATAGGCTTACGCAATAGGAAGCCATCTTAGGTATTTCAGGCAATAGAAGGAATTTAACACAAGGAACTGGATGCATACGAAACTCCTGGAAGGTCTGGAGGAGGGCAGGTCAAGGAAAGCAACAAGGTTTCAAGTTTGCTGCTAGCTCTACAGAGACAGGAAGCTTCAGGGACTGTAGGAAACGGGCTGGTGATGATTTCATCTGCTTCCAGCACTGACTGAGGTGGATGATTCAAAGGGAAATGTCTGGGATCTAATACAAACTCTGATGTCTGTTGAACCCCACACATCTGCCCACTTCTGACAGAAGAGCAATAATGTGGCGTCTACCTCTCCTCCACCTTCCAAATCCCATGCAAGTACCTCTGGTTGTCAGCATCCGACTCAAAACTCTTCAGGCAAGGGATGCCGAGGAATGTAGTGCCCAGACTTCCAGCTCTAACAATTAGAAGGAATTGCATAACAGGCAAGCTGGCCTATATAGTTAAAGAAGGAAACACCCCCAAAGGATTGAAGGGAGAAAACTTTTGACAAAGCAAAAGGCAAAATAAACACCGGTGCTCAGATTCCTGGTTACTGTGAAATACCAAAATCCCTATGTGTTTTGTACCCATCTGCAACTTTTTCTTTAAAAACAATACCGTGTAAATTTGCTGTGTCTAACCCATTGTCTTCTGGGCTTACCCTAGCCCTAGGATTTCACTGACTACAAACCCCTGGCCATCAGAATTTTGTTTTCTTGTCTAAGGTGGCAACATGTGAAAAGAAGAGTCTTAGTAAACGTGTTTGTTTCCAGGGCTAATTCCTGAACCATAAGATACGACTCTTTTAAAAATTATCTGCTGCTGTGGAACAAACTACACTCTAAAATTTAGTGCCTTAAAACAATAATTCCCTTTTTTTCAGAATTATCTGCTGGGCTCTTCTGCCCCCGTGGTGTCAGCTGTGTCACTCACTCAGCTAAGACATTCAGTTGGTGGCTGGCTGGGCTGGAAGATCCAAGAGGGCTTCTCATGCATATCCGGTGCCTCGGTGCCCCTCGGGTGGCTAACTTAGGCTTCCCCACAGCTCAGTCTCACGTGGTCAGAATCTGGCTGCCCGGAGGGAAGAAGTGGAAGCTACCAGACCTCTAACAGCCTGGGCGTGCAAGTCGTAGAACGTCGCTTCCACCACATCCTACGGGTCAAGGAGAGTCACAACGTCCTGATTCAAGTAGAGGAGAAATGGGCTCTGCCTCTCAAAGGGTAGAAGGCTGATGCATACAGGGAGGGAAGGAATTCATCAGTGGCGTCTTTGCACAAGATGCGAACTTCGATACTAATTCTCTGATTCTATCCTCACTTCACAATTCGGAGCATGCAGTTGTTGACCTTAATTTTTATATTTTGCTTCCTCTCCATCAATGGCCTCAACGTTTTTTGCTTATATAGCCAATGAATAATAAATGTTTGAGCAAGCATTTCAGATATGTATCCATAGACAACAGGTTGACTGTCCTACACCATTTTATACAAGGGACTTGAGCATCCACTGATTTTGGTATCCACGAGCCAGTCCCCCGTGGATACCGGGGGGAGGACTGAATAGGTATAGGTAACTCCCCTTGAACAACACAGGGGCTAGGGGCAGTGACCCTCAGTATAGTAGAAAATCCATGTATAACTTTATACCAGCCCAGATCGTGTAGTACTGTAGTACAGTATTTAGTGAAAGAAATCCTTGTACGAGTGGACCCACGCAGTTTAAACCCGTGTTGTTCAAGGGTCAACTGTAATACACATATACGTGTATATTACATATTATATAGTAGTATATATAGTATACACATATACTACTGACAATCTATTTGTTAAATATTAGTAAAGTTTAATGTCTTTTATTTTTAATAAGCATAACTATGAACAGAAGATCGTTCTTTTTATACTATTTATACTATTCTTTTTATACTCCACTCTGAAGATCACTGATCTACCCTTCTGTCTTGGTCTCATCACTGCTTTCTTGTGTCTTCTCATTAACTCCCTACCCCTGCAAGCTCCTTCTACTACCCTCAAGGTGACACTGAGATTTTGCTCCCCCTTTTTACTCCTCTTCCTGTTGCCTAGATATATCAAATATCAAATAGAGCTCAGCGTTGTTCCACATTTCACAGTAGATAGCTAAGAAATGTGTCATGTACTCAAGCATTGTGAAATCTGAAGGCTTATAGTCGGGTAAAGCAGATTTGCTCTTCTTTTCTAAATGCTGTCAGTTACAAGGTTAGACCCCCAGTGTTTGTGTAAATATCAATATACACGGGTACTCAGGCACCCTCATCCCTCTGGGGAAAAAAATCATTTGAGGATTAAGCATTGATTAGAATTATGTTCTCTCAGAGAGTAGAAGACTGAGAATAATCTCAATTTACAGGAGGCAGGTGTATGCCTTGTCATCTCTGTGTCTCCAGAGTTCTAGCACAGGGGCTAGCAAACAATAGGTGCTTAATAAAGGTTTGTTATACCAAAGCCTGGCCCCTTACCTATAACTATCCAAGTACAGATTGCCTTTTTTAGTTTGCAAGTGGAAATGTACAGTTTGATTTGCAAGTAGTTACCAAGAAACTCAGAGACACACCAATAGGTACATTTTATAATATACAAACTAAACTCCGATCATCACATAAAATGTCAGATAGAAGGCAAAGCAGAGAAAAACAAAGGGTGGACATTGCAGTTATGAGTGCCCTATCCTTTTAATTTTGAGTACAAATTAATTTCCTTCTAATCTTTAGAAAACAACATGTGTGGGGTGTGGAAACAGAAGGGGAGACTTGAGGCGGTGCGCAAGGGTGGAAGGATTTTAAGTGATCTGCTGTGATCCGCAGTGCGTATCTTGGCCAGGGTTATCTCCAAACAGGCCTCAGTAGACAAGAAGATGGAGATGGAGGCCAGCTTCCTTTTTAATCAAACATGAAGCTGCTGTGTGCACAGCCCTGATGTCCAGGCTGCTGAAGGCTCTGATAGCTGAGGCAGAAGCAAGGGAGAGGCTGATAATGGGGCAGGAGCCGGGGAAGGCTGTGGGCTGCCCGGGGCCTCCCTTGGGGTGATTGCAGTGCTTCTGGCCGCCAGATGTAATGCACAGCTCAGGGGCCTGATTCAAGGCCTGGAGGTAGTGCAGGGAGGGGAGCTTTCCCTTTCTCAGCTTGTCTAATTTAACACAGTTTTCTGTCTGACTGCTCTCAGCTTCAAAAGGGAGTCTGGAGTGCTTGCCTACATGACATAGTCCTATGGAACTTTCTCCGTCGGTATTTCCAAATAAGCACTGGAGGCAGGAAGTCAGGCAAGTGCTGAGATGCAAGAAATATGTGCAGGGGTGTGTGTCATGGGGGGGCTGGAAGGGAACCTGGGCTCTGATTGGATGCCATTGGTTCCTTTCATTTCAGGCTGCTGTTCCTATTGTTTTTACCAAGACATTTTTCTCCCCCAAATGCAAAAGCTAGAGCTGTATGACCCATCCATCCCTGGCCCTTTATACAAACCAACCCTGGGCTGCACTATGGCCAGGAAGCAACAGTCCAGCTCCCACAGAAGGTGCTGAAAGCCCACCTCAGGGCTCCCTTCCAGCAGGCAGGCAGGGGCTTCTGCCACATGGCACTGGAGAGTTACCCTTATTGAGACCCGAGGGAAAAAATCAGGATAGTGTTAAGCAAGTTTCAGGCCTGCCCATCAGTCAGTTACAGAGAAGACATTTCTTTTAGGTTTTTCAGAGCCTGTGCTCCCTAAGCTGGGTCGTGCTCCCCAGCCTCTGGGCCCCTCACCCCGTTTCGTGTGTGAAACGAAAAGGTTGGGCCAGAGGGTCTTCAAAGCTCCTTGCCGCTCTGACTTCCTCTGATCCCATGACCTTTAATTGCCAGGACTATGGAGACCAGCGGCCTGGAAAACCCAAAAGAATGGAAAATGCCCAGATAGATATTTTTTCACCTTGGAGTATCATTCCTTGAATGCTCATTGTGCTACCTCGTGAAGCCCACATAATGAAGATCTGACTCAGAAGGTTTCCCTGTTTCTCCATCCTGACCCCTGAAATCCTGAAAAGGTCTGTTTACCTTTCCAAAGAGACATAACTCCCTGCTTAAGCCTTAGCTGCTCCCCTGCCCCCATCCTGACTAGTCTTTCTGGTTAGCATTTTCTCTGACTGGGAGAGGGGGTGATGCTTGGTTTAAAAGCCCTCTCTGCAGGAAAGTGCAGCACTTCCTCTCTTCATCCCTCTTTTTTTTTTTTTTTAATGACTGCACACATGTATTTAACGGTGCAGTTTTACATAGAATCCTAAGATTACTTTTCTTGATATTTTATAGAAGGCCTTGAAACATATTGACTTTCTATTAATATTCATACCGTAGCACAGCCAATTCTAACTCCTAAATAGATGCACTACAATTTGTTTAGAGTTTAAAGGTTTAATGGCAAAAATGAGGGGAGAGAAAAGAGTAAGCGTATTTTATATAATTGAATGAAAAATACATTCATGAAATAGCAAATAAAATTTAATACGGTCTCAGGCACCCTGAATGAGATGGTGCCTGATTTGGAGGGGTGATTGCTATGTCCAAATAACCTCCATTTGGAACTTCTGTGACTGCAGAGATGAACTGCAGTTTAAGTTACATCTTAAACAGTGCACAGAGAGAGAGATACCAACCAGGTTTTGAAACAACAAACATGATACACAAAATACACCACGCCATCTCTCGTTTTGCTCCTCTTACAGCTCTGTATACATAGGCTAGGTATTATTAGCCCCATTTTACAGGTGGGAATACTGACTCTGAGATAATTGAGTTACTCAAACTATCAAGACTGTTTAAGAGGCCAAATGAAGACTGGAAACTAAGTCTTCTGATTCTTAATGCCCCTCCACAGCACTGTTTAAAATATGGATCATCTTTCTGGAGGAAATGGCTTGACCTTCCATACTCACCTGTCTCTGGACTGAAAGAGTGGAGAAATGGAAGAAGTGGGGGAGAGGTCAGCTCAGGATTGAAACTCTTCTCAAAGCAATTTGACTGTTGCCTTGCTGTGCTCAAAAGCTGCTTCTGCTTCCAGGATTTGCCCTGAAACCAATAATCACAGAACCTGTAGCTCCTCTGGTCACGTGTATATGCTTAAAAGTGTGCAGGCAGAGTCCAGTCCAAGGGTCACCTTTCTGTTGTGCAAGATGATAAAGCTGCAGCATTCATGAGGTATTATGGCGGGTGGGACACCCTCTCCAGTAGCATCATCTCAGTGGCCATCTTCCTTGCTTTGACCACATCCTTTAGTAGATAAAGAAGTGTTAAAACTCTTGCTGCTGACCAGTGGGACTTTTTCATATTTAATGTGAAAGGGAGAGAAACTAAGAAACTTGAGCTAATTGAAATATGAATTTGGAAAATATATTGATGTGCTCATTTTTTCTAATTCAATACTTATGAAAAGGTATAATTTCAGTTCTGATTCTGCACAATTTACTCGTGGTTTCATGGGGCGAAACTCATTTTGAGTTGTTTTAAAGTTCAGTTAAAAGCATTTTGTTGATGTGTTTAATTGGGGGTTCTTGTCAAGGAATTTATTTTTTCACAGTTCTGTTTTGTTGAGGTCCTGAAAAGGTCTATGAATATTCATGAGTATGAAGTAGATCTAAAAAGAAAAAAAAAAGCCTCAAGAATACTAAAATTTTTTGAAAAATACTAAATAGGCTTCTGATGGTCATGATTTAAACAAGATGAACTGAAAAGTTTGTCAGTCCACTTTGGATTGAAAAATTGCAGATCCTTCTTTTTCTAAATTTCCAAAATCATCTCCTTTACAATGTTTTTTTATGCCCAAAGCCTACCATTTCATTCTCTGAAGACCTCTGTCCCGATGTGAACTTTGAACTGACATGGCAGAAGCAGTTTCTGGTTCTGTATTTTGGAGGGATTGTTGGGGGAGGTTTTTGGGGAGGTCACATTGAAAAATCTGAAATGTCCAAGGGTATATGAGCAAAAGTTTTCCCTGTAACATGGAGGCACAGAACCTGAACAGCAGAACCAAGAGGGGGATGTGCAAACAGGAGGCTCTGCTCCGAGGATGTCCCTACCTTTGGCCAAATGGTTCATTTTTCACACAGTTATCTGGTGATATTATTTTGGCAAAAACAGTGTGGAGGTTTTGAGTTCTTTTAGTGTCACTGGTGGGTTGTTTTTTTAAACTATAAATTTATTTATTTATTTTTGGCTGCATTGGGTCTTAGTTGCTGCGTGCGGGATTTCTCTAGTTGCGGCGAGCGGGCTTCAGCAGCTGTGGCACGTGGGCTCAGTAGTTGTGGCTCGCGGGCTCTAGAGCGCAGGCTCAGTAGTTGTGGCACACGGGCTTAGTTGCTCCGCGGCATGTGGGATCTTCCCAGACCAGGGCTCGAACCTGTGTCCCCTACATTGGCAGGCGGATTTTTAACCACTGTGCCACCAGGGAAGCCCGTCACTGGTGGCTTTAAATGCCTTTTCCAAAACCCAGTGTAGTTCTAACACAACATTTATTAGCCACAAAAGAGTTCAACCAAATGCCTTAGAAAATGAACACTTCCTTTGGGCTCTTTGGCCATCATCATCACACATACACAGCCCCTCCGCCATGGGAAACTTCCCATTTCTTCTATTCTTCACCCCAATAGAGCTGGTTGTTTGGATATTATCATCGACTGAATTGCTTCATTTTGGTTACAAATCATTTACTGTAATCACTGAAGATCTCTACTCATTAGAGGCCTATTAAACTGTCAGCTTTTATTTAATTTTTTACTTGTCTGTATTGCATTTTTAAACTATTTAAAAATTGAAATACAGTTGACATACAATTTTGTGTTAACTTCAGGTGTACTAAAAGTAGCGGCTTTTAAATCAGATTTCAAAGGCTTTTCTGTGCCTCAGTTTTCTCATCTGAAAAAATGAGGATGGTTATAGGATCTCACTCAAAGGGGCTGAGAGAATTATACTGAGAAGATTCCAGTGAAGCCCTTGCTAGGTGTTCTATAAGTGTCTGATGCGATCATCCTAACTTCAGACAGGCCTCTTTCATTCTTTGGACTGGGGTCTTGCTGGACTGGGAAGGGGCTGAGGAGGTTGCTGAGATGTGCATACCCGACACCTCTGAGAGGAGGTGGGAGAGAACTCAGTGATTCGGTGTACCGTTAGCCGTCCTTCAGGGAACTTTCCAGTCTCCCTCAACTTGTCCTAACTGCAGAAGTGTAAGCATTTGTTTTCAGATCAAGGAATAAAAAGGTGCCCCAGATCTCCACGTCTTCTCTGCCAATCCCAAGCTCCACACTGGCCTGATGTGTGAGGGGAAAACTTAAACCTCCTCTTCCATGTTAATTTGAACAGCTGCATTCAAGCCACAGACAAAAAGGCGGCTTTTCTCTTCACTTTGTAAGGTGGCCACTCTGGAAGGAGGAGAGAGACTCAGGATAAGACTGGCGCCTAGGAAGAGGATAAGACTGATTCGTCTTGATTTATGAAAGTACCTGTACCAGTACCATCTTGCCAGATGAAGTGAGTCACAGGCTCTCTCTCCTATCCCTTGTCATTGGGGGAGAGAAGTGACAGGGGCAGCCTCCCAGGCATCCTGAGATGTTGTGTGTGTTTGCAACTTGAAGAGGAATTTCCCACCCCTCCCTTGTTCTCTTTCTGCATGCCTACCGCTGAGGCACCTCTGACACAGCCCACCCGTAACCCCTTCCAAGACACTCCTCCGTGTCGCCCCAGGAGCTGCTTTTTTTCCTTTTCGGTTGAATTTTTTAGGATCTGAAAAGGCTCTAGCCAAAGGTTTGTTTGTTTGGGTCATGTTCACGTTCTCACATTTTTGTCAGATATGGAAAATGAGGAAGTTAACTGCTCGCTCGCTCTCTCTGGAACTCAGCCAGTGCCAGATGAACATGGAATTAGGAGTCCCGAGCTCAGGACCCATGCTTTGTCTCCAAGATCATCCAACCTGTAACGAACATCAGAAGTTTCCTGAGATCCCTGCCAGATGGACATAAAAATCAATATCTCGCATACAAGAGGTGGGTTCTACATCAGATTTCATAGAGTAATCAACGAACTAAACATATTCCCCTACCTTCAAATATCCACTTGGAAAAAAAAGATTTATTCTTACTCTGAGTCACAGAGGTTAATGCTTAAGAGGCAGCCTGCTTGGATGTACACTTCACCACCTGCGGGCTACATGACCTTGAGCTCAGGACTTCACCTCCTTGCACTGCAGTTTCTTCATCTGTAAAAGGGAGACAGGAACTGTAGGACTGGCAGGGTTCATGGCAGGCGCACTGCCCAGCAATAGTAAAGGCTGATGATACAGGCCATCCATCACCCTGGCACAGAGAAGAAGGAGCTTCCAAATTCCAATTTAGCTCAATATTTAGGTTCGTATAAATAAGCCCAATGCATTCTCCACTCTGCATCTTCGTCCAAGCTTCTCATAACCCTGGTTCTTCTCCCCGGGACATGCTCCCTGTCTTCTGCCTCTTCCCCGTCCCCTCCCAGCTTGAACTCCCCATGTGCTTCTGACCAGAGAGATCTCTCCTGCCCCCTCGCTTGTCTGCAGCCCTCATTCTTGCTTATCATTTTACTGCGTCCTCCTGTACATTGAAAGCAAAGCTCCAGAACGATTTCTTTTGAGCCACCCATAAAGGCAGGCACATTGCTGGGCGCACGCTGGAGACACGCGGTTGATGCTCCTTGGAGGATGCGGATATGCCTGGCCTAAGGAGACCTTTCTTAGAAACTTTCCGACCTGAGTGCAAGCCACCTTGTGATCGCCCAGGTGGAACCTCGGGCTGCGCAGAGATTTGCAGATCCTGAGCACAGGACTGTGAAATCCGGGAAGCAAGCGTGTGCTGCGTGCTGAAGCATTCCAATAATAGTTGCGGCTGGGGAGGACGGTGCGGTGACTCACGTCCCCGGCGCACGTCCCCAGGCAGCGGCGTGGGCGGGGCCGCGCACCCCGGGCAGAGGGGGATTTACCTGGGGAGGCCGGGATGGCAGCCGCCTGCAGACACTGACTCTGGAGGGAGCCGGGGTCACGAGGGCAACCACTCTGACTCACACGGGAAAGCCAGAGGGCGATGACCAAATTTGAAAGAGCAAGTCGCCTCTGTCAGGGAAGCTCTTAGAGAAACAGGAAGCGTGATCAGCTGCTACCAAGCCCAGAAGAGGAAAGTCAGCTGTCGTTGTACCTCTGTGCTCGCTGAAATTTATCACGATGAGCGTCTGCGGAACGCAGCACTGTGCTTCTGAGAAGTGAGATGCATCACTCCCACTCAGCGTGGGCACCCGTCCCCACCCGCATCCCCGCTCATCCGCAAGGCCTGCCGCGGCAGAAGCCCGGTTCAAGCTCATTCCTACCCTCACGTGGAATTACCATAGCTAACATCTAGTCACAACAGCCTCCGTGTTGGGTTTTGTGGGCTGTGATCAGCTGAAGGGTGGCCAGCTGCGAGGGTACCCTGCCCACCAAGACAAGAGCTCAGGCACCAGCCTGAGCCAGCCCATAGGAAAGGGCATCTTTTCTATGTGTCTACCCAAAGGAGGACAGCTTTTTTTTCTTCCGAATTAGCACAACATTCTCCGTGTTGGCGGTGGTCCTGTTTACTGAGCACTTACTGTGTGCCTAACCCTGTGTTAGGAATGTGGTGCACATTGTCACATTTAATTCTTACGACAATCCTAAGAGGCCAGTTCTCTCAGTGTCCTTTTTAGGGCTGAGGAGATGGAAGCACAGAGAAGTAGAGCGACCTGCCTCACAGCACACAGCTGTTTGTCGGATTTGGACTCTGAACACAGGACATGCTCCCATCCAGTATGATTTTGTTTAGTCCTGGTTGATGATGACGATTCAAGTCTTGGGTCCTTGGGATGCCTTTTCTTGTAGGCTGTGTTCTCACAGGTTTTGCAGCCTTGAGGGGGCGAACTGGGAAGGCTGAGTGTTGGGGAATTCGAGGAGAGGTTGGCTCCATCCTTCTAGGGCCAGGCTGCCCCAGGGCCTACCTAGGGGTAGGATGAGGCTGTAGCAGGTCTGTGTGGGAGGTCCCAGGCAGCACAGGGCAGGGAGCCCCCTTGATGAATGTAGCCTTGCCACTGCCCTGTTCCCTCAGTGCCCTGAATGGGGTGGACCTTGCTGCTATGCAGGGGGTTAATATGGCGCTCTCCATAAGATGACAGCCAGGATAGCCTGCCACTTAAATGGAGCTGTCGCTCTCAAGAGAGAGAACAACCTTTAGTTCAGAAGCTCCCAAGCATCAGTGCCCTTAAAATCATATTCCCAGCCTAAGAATTGGCATGCTAACAAGTTCCCCAGGTCATTCTCTTGTAAGTAGTTCTAAGGACCA